GCGCGCTCGCAAAATGCAGAAAAAAAGGGGGAAGAAAAAAAAACAAACACACGCTCACTCGTTCATACTTGCCCCAGCGGCGAGGGGGTCCGCTTGGGCGGAGGAGTGGGGCCGGCAATTCGGGAGGATCCTCGTAACGAGGCATAACCAAAAAAAAAGAAGGTAATGAACTAAATGAAAATATAGCTCGTTACAATACTTACCGTTAATTATATTTAACTCATTTGAAAAATTTGTAAAATTGCAGGTTTGAAAATAAAATGTAGTAATCAATTTATTTTTCTGTGTCAATCAAATAACATCCATTATTTAATCACTTAATATTTCGGTACCTTTATATTATATTTTTCAAAGTAAACTACATATCACAAAATAAAATTTATTTCACATATCACAGTAATATTGTACATAGGGAAAAAATTAACTAATTAGCATTTTACAAATTATTAAATTTAGAATGTTGGGTTAGAAAGAATCAAGTAATTAGTATATTAACCATTACAATATTATATTCACTATGGTATTTCAAAATGAAATGTTAATTTCTCTTACAGCACCTAATTACAGTTCAATAAATAATAGAAATTATTTTCTGTCCTAAAGAGTATTTTTTAGAAAATTAGGTTGCTTTGTAAATACAGCTATTTAATAAGAAATTGTGAAAATGGAAAATAAGATCTTGAGGTAAGAAATAAAATGCCATGATTGTCTGTTTACATAATAAAGAGTAAATTTATACAATCAATTACAGTATTATATAAATAGTAACAACTATGCGCGAATTACAAGTATTACAATATTATTATGAGTGTAGTAAAAAACATTCTCTGCGCTATACTACACTTATATAGTATATACTTATCAGTAAATATTTACAATGCTTCGAGTTAATCGGAATTTTTTCCTTTTCGATAGGAAAAAACACCGAGTATCAATGTTCGCGAAGCTAAATAAAGTTCAAATATTTCGTGGAACGTGGAACGTGGAACGTGTTCCACAACTGTAAAATGTCGAGACATTGATCCTTTTTTCAGATACGCGACAGTTTAAAGAATATTAGGATACTTATCACAGTCCATGGACATTACATGTATATGAAAAATATATTAACAGTTTGAATACAAATTTTAAATTCGATTAATCTGTGTTTCGAATTTACAAGTCTGCCTAAAGAAGACTTTTAAAAAACAATTTAATTGTTTTTTATAATTATTTTTATGTTCTTTATATCGTCTTACTTGATATGTTTTTGTTATCAATTTGTCCATGTACAGTGCTAGAAGATGCTTTTTGTTTGGTCAAAAATACAAACGACCGTTTCGTCCGAACGTTAAGACAGATGATATAAAAATCTTATGAATCTAATATAAGTTAAAAATCGAAATATGGTGGGTTACCAGAGCCCCACTACCACAATTATTCGTGAAACGCCCTTTCAGTGCAAAACGAACAGTTATAAAAATATCATGAATAAAGTCTCGTTTTTCTTTTTATATTAGAATATTAAGAAAATTTTCGTAATTAATGGTCCTTTTTGTGTAAAGGCACGTTTTTTAAATAGACATTCAAGACGCAAGAGTTAACGAGGCAAGAATTTCGCTAAATAGTCAAGTCCTTGTAAAAAACTAACAAACTTTTACTTGCCTTTTTTTATACAATCTTTCAATTTTAATCGTTTCGTTAATTAAAAAGAAAAATATTATTTATATTTTTTCTCACCATTGATCTTTTTGGTAAACATTCTTAATCTTTTTTATATAATCTCTGCAACTTTAATCATTTAAATATTATATAAAAAATAAAATATTTCCTTTTTCCTCTTCACTTTGCTTTTCTTATAAGAAAATAAAGATAATAAAAATTAGTGAAATAAAAGAATATTGCAAGCAGTGCAAGTTATTATTACAAGGACTTTAAATATAATTTACATTCGTATTCAATTAAAAAAATTGAATTCGATTAATTTTGACCTTCACAAGTCAAACACATATACCTTTAAATCCACAATCTAAAATATTAGTTGATTATACCTAATTGCATTTATTGACAATATTTTTTCACAAAAATAATATCGAATTCGAGTAATAGTATAATTCTTTTTCTAAAACATAATCTTCAAAAAAATTGAAAATCATGTGAAACAAAAACTTTTTTTTGTATTATGGACAAAAATATGTTTGATTAATTTTCAAATTCGATTCAATTTCTAAAAATAAAATTTTTTTTCAAAATTCAACCTTTCTCTGAACGTATTATTAAAACCAAAGAAAAAGTATTTTATCACAACTATTGTTTGTAATTGACCAAGTAGCTAATCATAGAAACAGTTTTCTAGTCTGCCAAATATATATATTTTACGTAACAATATTGTTTTTTCAATGAATATACCAGATATTATTTGAATCTTGTAATATATTCATTTAACTGCTCACGGAGCTGAAAACATTGACAAGTATTTCTTATATATTATAAATAAAATGTAATACTAAGCACAGTATTACAATATGGTTCTTAAAAATAGTTACTATGTATACTTCGAAGAAATTGCAACATAGAAAATAGTAATTTTCATTTATACCAATATTCTGTCCCTTATAAAATATGTAATGAATCTCACAAATGTTTACAATGTTTAAAAATTAAAATGTTCTACGGAATTTTTAATGCAAATTACATATGCAGTTTTTGCAATTGAAAACATGTGAATAGTTCCATGAATATTTCATAGCTTTGATTAGTTATATCTTTAAAATTTCTGCAATTACAATAAGCGTATAATCAAAGAAATATAAAAGAGGTAACAGTAATATAATGCTAATAAACTGTAGTTCTCTATAACTATCTAATACTACCTATACATTATTTAGAGTGAAAATGGTTTTGATATTTATGTGTATCTTATTTTTCTATTATTTTTGCATTTAATTACTTTCTTACATTTACTACGATATGCTTACCCTATTAAAAGAAAGAAGTAAGAACGTAATAAGATACATTACAGTATCATAAAGGTGATACATGTATAGAGGCAACAGAATACCATACAGATAATATAGTCATAGTCAGTTATTGCAATTCACATGAATGAATTAAAACCGCAATGATGAAAACCATGGCAGTTGAATTAAAGCTTAGATAAGAAATGTATAATTAATGTTAATTTCATAAATTAATATTAAATAATTACTTCTTTCGTTATAAAGAACCACAAGCGGTGTTTAAAACGTTGTAATATGTTCTAAACATTATTTATCAAAATAAAATGGCACAATTTTCGTATTTTCATTTCTTGTAGAAGGTATGTCATATTGAAATTCTTATAACACTGGAAACGTAATATCTTTTCTCCTTCCTTAAGTTCAATTTCATTTACCTTCCTGAGACAAGTTCGAATTATTTAAATATTACATACATAAATTAACGATTAATATAGTACTACATATGGTACGTCGTTAATATGTAATTGCAACTGCTTAAAATGTAACTGGAAATGTACATTTTGTTCATAAAAATCTGTGTGGTTCTATTGGCACATGGCTAATACAAATGTTGAATTTTCTTATTGAAATCTACAAATATGTTGTCTGTTTCATCTGATCTTTACGCAAATGTTTTACAACTTCATATATTGCAGACAGCAATATTTAAGTTGAGGTGCAAGCATACTTGTTCCATTAACATCCATAACATTTTCTACTTTCACATAAATCTCATTGATACCAAAGAAAACATACAGTATAGGTGTGCATGCGTTGTACTTCAAAGATCGGATTTGTCTTGCATGACTTCTTCTGAACAATTTCTGTAGGATAAACAAAGTTACATGAAAAAGACTATAAAAACCCACAAAACGAAAATAATTGCACCAACTCGTCCACATATGAAAATCAAATACATTTTTAATTTCATATGTTATACTGATTTCAGCAATAAATTAAGCAACTAATTTTTGAAAATACCATAAACGAAGTTGGTCAAAAGATTCATATAAGATAAATATTCATAATAATAAAGATATGAAGAATGAATTTTACGATAATACATCTAAACATGTAGCAAAAAAGCATATCTTGAAATATACTAATGTAAAATGTGAAGAATCTAATTCTAAGATCGTTAAATAAATATGTATTAGTTAAACTAAATATTAGATTAACTTTTATCATTTGTTAATATTTTAATTAATACTATAGTCACTAAGAAAACACAATTTTTAGTGTTATTGTGATAGCATAGTAAGGTGAAATTTGGTACTTATGAATAATATTAATTTAAAGAAAAGAAACAATTGTAAACTTTTGGTACAACACAAACCATAGAAACAATGAGATGAATTTTTTGCGTAAAATTATGTACATACAAAGTATACTAGCAAATGACATTATACCTATGATTGAAGGTAATTACTAATATGCTGCATTCGCAAATTTTGCGATATGTTATTATAAGCTCTCTTTAACCGAAATGAGTATTCGCTTCCATCAAAAATCCATAACACGTTACAACGAATTAATCGCCAATTTTCATTCAAGCTTTTCTAAAGCAATGAATATTTACTTATATTGTTATAATTGATAATTATAAACTTTTTACTGTTGCTAATCATTCTTGCAACTAGGATTTTCAGACCAGTCTTTGTAACTGTTTAAAATTTCCCACTGGAACATAGTGATACATACACATATACCAATATGTGTAATGTATTTTTTACGTATATGGATCTTATACATAATTGGACGTTGTCTTCGATGAAACGACAAACACAAAATGAAAAAATTTAAGGCACATAGAACAATGGAAGTATTGACCAAATGTGGTTATGCAACGATAGCGAAAAAGAAAAACTGAATAGTTTCTAATATACTAATTACAACCTTCTTAATGAAGCCATACTCAGGGAACTGCATTTGGCCTTTCGTGTCGGTTGAACCGACATAGGTGCTACTAGAACATCGTCTCTAGATGGCGAGCCTGAACCACCATTACCCAGCTCCTAGAAAGATACACGAATATCTATTTATTCTACTCATATACACAATTTGTAAATGAAAATACCAGAAGCAATTGAAAACACAAAGGGCGCATTAAACGAAAGTACTTAGACATATATAAATAACATTTAACTTGCATTTAAATACAACTAATAGAAAGAAGGAAGAATAACTAATATAGCATGCAAGTTCATAGGTATATCGAAGAAAAAATGCTGGTATATATACATATATATAATTTTTCTCAATGCAAATATATTTTACAAGAAGAAAAGAAAAGCAAGAAAATAACAAAAAGGAAGCCAGCTTCAAATTTTATGTGTAAACAAAAATGAAAATAAAAGAAGAAAAGAAAAAACAAATGAAAGAAATTTGTTATTACAAAATATCTCTATAAAGGCCGAGTTAAATGTCAATGTTTTAACATTTGTAGAATCCATTCTGAAAGTATCGGCCAAATCATTTGTAAGATAAATATAAAGTTCTGTTTTTAATTTATGACACGAAGTTTTTTGATCCAGTCGAAACACTGTGTGACATCACATTCCTAAAATGAATTTTATCTATTGAAAAATATTTTATTTTACCTTTCTCTTTATTCCGTTTCACAAGAGGAGATGTTACAAAATTAAATTACTGTCTTTTACGTATTTTAAAATGAATATAAACGAAGTATTTAGTACTCGATTAATCAACAAATATTTGATAAAATAGACGTGTTATAATATACTTACGTGATAGAAATGAAAATTTATTTGTTAACATTACAGCAGCATAAACATAAACTGTATGATTAATTTTGTGTCAAAACAAGCATAGCAAAAAGGACAAAAATGACATACATTATGAATAAATTAATGCAACTCATAGAATAGAGAATCAAGCAGAATAATATATTAAGATGAATATAGAACAATATGTAATATTTAACATACAATAAATTAAAGTTCTGAAGTGTTTGCAGAAAAAGATGAACATAGTAGAAAAAGAAGTTGGTAAATATTTTACTTGACATTTAAAACTATGTACAAATATAATGTCAAGCATCCAAAAATTTGATATAATTAAAATATGTACAAAGAATAATATTCCCATGGTTGCACAACCATGTCCTTTAAGGAAACTTTAGGCAAAATGTGGAATGAACAACACGGAAAAGAATAATAGTTAAAAACAAAATGAAAATTATGACAAAGAAGAATTCAATAAAGAAATTAAAAACTATTTTAAGAGATAACAATCTCCTGTCGTGAAATGAAAATGAATGAGGAGTAGTTTAGAAAGAATAAGCATATTCTGAGGAAAAAATACATGCGATAATGAAATGTCAACTAACGTTAATGTTATTGCAACTGGCAAGTCGCATCTGCGCAAGCTGTTGACTTGCTGGTGTGAGACTATTAGTTGATCCAAATGGTGACATCATTGTTGACATTGCCCTCTTCAATTTACTTGGAGTTTTATTAAAACTAAACGCTCTGCCGACTTTCATCCTTGTACGGGATGCAAACCTGAAGAAAACATTTGTTGCAAATTTATTTAAACTTAAGTTTCCAGAAAGAAAGAAAACTAAAGCGTCTATTGAAATTTTATTGTCCCCAAACAAATCGATATAATTATTATGTTTAAAAATCAACAATATCAAAAAATATCAATAAATAATGTTTGAATTACGAAAAACAGGGGAAAATAAATTTTCTAGCAAATAAAGGGACTTAGCAAACTTAAAGTAAAATCCCAAACCTTAATAAACCAGTTCAAGTAAATATTACACCATAACAATTTTAATATACATGCGAAAGGTGAATTATAGTTTAGCAATAATTTTGAAATTTTTTCATGCCGGACTTTAGGTCAAAGTTATTCCACAACTACAAATCTATATTACAGACAGAAGAAAATATGTATATGAACAGAATTTAATATAAAAAATCAAAATATTTAGAAATAATTAAATCTGTTGTAAATAAAAACACGAATGATTAAAATATATTAGTTACATACATTGTTACGAAGAGTTGTGCTAAAATTTTCAATGAATATACATGTATATATCAGACTATTTAACAGTTAAGAATTTTATGAATTTATGTTAATCATCTTAAACAGGCTGATATTATCAATATTATGCTTGAACTGGCCACACTATTTTCACAAAGCAATTTAGCTTTATATATTTCTTCGTCATAAAATGAAACTAATTAATTCAAATAAGCAAGGAATAAAGGACCAAAGCGAATAAAAAAAAGATAATCAGCCTGGTGCGAAAACTGACGGTAGTGGGACATGTAATGTGGTTTCACACATGCTATTGAGTAGGAACACATACGGGTCCATATACTCCAGGTAAAAATTATGAAATAGGCTCCTGCAACCAAACGAGTCGTCGCCCCATTATTTTTTGTTAACATGCAATAACAGGAAAAAAACAGTTTAAAACACCTAGTACTTTTTCCGTCGCAAATAGGCATATTGTGTTTTATACAAATTTATGTTTTCTGTATTAACTTTTGCCGTATATAATACTTGGATTAAAAGTGCAATAATCCTACAACTTTTAATCAGGGATTGAAACAGTTTTGGAAACTTCACTAAAAAAATTCTATATGAAACGGTTATAGAAAATTGAAAAACTGTAAACTTATTATGAATAGAAAAAAATACTTGCAAGCACTGCTTTCAATTACAATCCCAAAATCAGTTCTACAACAAATATGTAACAGTTTCATATTGATTTCAATAGTGTATTAGTAATGCTTTCATAATCTTTTTTAACGGAGCTGAAGTTTTCTTTATCGAAGAAAACATTTTTTGGTAATTTTAAAAATTGCTATTTGTAGCGAATTGTAAACTGTTACTTACTGGAATAACTTATATTAAAAAAACTTAAAATCTTTTAAAGCGCTTAGAGTATTTAAAGATCTTTATTTGACACTTATTACTGCAGGTAAATTTCACCAAGAAGTTGCTAAATTCTCAGTCTTAGAAGACAAAAATTTGTTCTGATGTCATAAATTTCAATATTTAGAGAGAAGCAAACACCTGTTTGCAATTTAGTTTTATATTAGCTAGTCGTATATCTGAAGGAAACCATTTGGTCATCAATTAATCATCAAGCGACGAAATTTTCATACTCCTGGTCAAAACACGTTTAACCCTTTCGCGCCGAGCGCCGCATATATGCGGCATCCACTCGACGACCTGTGGGTACGAGCGCCGCATATACGCGGCATCCGCGCCACGACTTTTGGGCATGAGCGTTCTGTTCCGTGACGGTACTTCGGCGGACGGGCCTGCCGTAGCGAAAGGGTTAATGAAGAATTTTTAACTACTTCTAAAGTTTTCTCTAAAATGCAAGTAACCACTGGGCAACTGGGTAAATACACAAGACAAAAATCCGTTTAAATATTAGAAAAAAACTATAAAATCTGCAAATTTTACATAGGATCTTCGTGAGTAAGAAAAATATCCATTCTGTGGTCCTAAATTGATAAATTAGTCATTAGTTTGATAATTTCTAGTGAAATAGTATAAAAACACTTTGAACTCATTTTTCTTAAAATCGTATCTTAAAAAATGACTTGAGTATTACTCAAGTACATATTCAAGAATTACTATGTACTTGAGTATATTACTCACTTTTCTTTTAAAAATTTTATAAACATTGCTGAAATATGATCAAATATCGTATATACGAAGAATTCTAACGAAAAAAAGATTTGCAATTGTGAAAAATTTCATAAAGTAAGTCCAAAACCGAACAATTCGACAGTAGAATATCCCCTTACTTTTTTTAAAACCGATAGTTCCATTTGAAAATGGTTTGAACGACGACTAAAGATATTATTGAAAGTATATATTATTAATTTTGTAAATTCGATGTTTACGTACGATACGAATCTTTGTTATACAATGACAACACTTGTATTATTTCCCAGTTGCATTTGTTAAACCTCTTTAATTATGAGTTCTACTACACATAAAAGATAAAATTGTTTTGTGAATTATAGTAATATTGAACACTGCAGGAAGAATCTATATAATCATATTTAGAATCTGCATTCCTTTCACTAAGCCTCTTTAGCTATGTAGGCAGTATATCAGGAATGACTCATCGACAGTGAAAAGTACAAAAATGATTTTCTATAATAAATGGAATAGATCATTCATCTGTAGTAAAGTAATTATAATAAGTCCAAACTTGCTCAATAGGAAGAGAACAAGCATTCAAATAACACTTACTATTTCAATCGTTGATATTCTGAAAATAAGTGAAATAAGTTTAATTATTGAATTGATATAAACACTTTAGTTCTCATCTTTCACATTCAGTGTGGATGAATCATCTCTAATACATATTTAAAACGAAAAATCTAAACCCGCCTTTAGAACGTATATCAAATGGCGATAACACAATGACTAGACTAGAATTGCATAGAATATGAAAAAGAACTTTTTGACTCATTTTGGTACAAAGAATTTACAATTTTCGAATAAACTAAAGATATTAAAAAAATGTTTTTACCAAAGTTATTTTGTATGAACGAAGACATAATATGGTATAAATAGTAGTATAAATAAAGTGTTGAAACAGTTTTGAAAATTAAGTTTTTCTTTAATGGAATGCTACATTTTTTATTCATAATGTTATGGCTCTTTATATTTCATTTTATGGAAGATTATATAATAATCTATATTATTTTGCATTGCATTACAAAAATCTAATTTAACTTTGATATCTGTCCCAGTATCTTATCAATAAAAAAAGTATACTCCTCTACACCAAACAAGAGTTTTAAAAACTTTTTACATATTTAGTTCCTTTTGAAACATTCAAACGGTTCTAATTAGTATTAAATAAATAATATCTATATACTTTTTAAAGCAAAATAATCTTTCTAAAATCAAACAAAACGACTCAAATGTTTTGGGGAAAGCTATGTCAGAATAATTAATAAATTAATATTAAGTCAATATTAAATATATATAAGAAAATTGTATTCAATTTTTGTAACCGTAATTTATGATATCAATTCTGCAAAACTATTTTACTAGTGCAAATCATTGAAATAGTTCAATCCCTGATTTTAACACATACATTCTATGAACAAACTGAAGTACCTACAACCTAACAAACTTTTACAATGCAGCAAAGTATCATAAAGTAAGCTATGCTAAAAGTATAAATACTAACTAATTAATTATTTATCTGTTTAATATATAATAATACCCCTAAAAATATTTCTCTAAGAAACTGCAAGTATTGTGTTCATGATAGCATTGTAATAAATATATTATTTTTCGGTTATGTATACGATGATTTTAGGTTAGACAATACACTTACAGTTACAAGAGAAATATAATTATTCCGAATATTAAAGATATACAACAAATGTAGATTAGACTTTTTACTACTTACTTAAATGCTTTACTTAATGTTCCTAATGCTACATCACTTGTGTCAATTTCAAGTTGATGTGAATCTAAACTTATCAAGAACGTATCCTAAAACATAAAAATGTATATATTAATCATAAAATAACAGTATATTGGAGTTAAATACTTCATATAAAAGATATTGAAACTTACTGCATCAGCTTTACATACTGTATTAGCCATTTGTCTACACAAGGTTCGTAAATAATTTGTCTTGTTTACTTCCTCATCAGTAATTGTAAATGAAAACAGTTTCTCTTTTAATTCTTGATTACTTCTTACCATTAGAGCAAATACTTTATGGCATTCTACAAACATACCAAGCATACAATGTACTTTGTGCAATTAATAAAAAATAGTTATTTTAAAGTGGCCTTTTAACATATAAATAAATATAAAATTTCTTATAAATGTAAATATAATTAACAATTTTAGAATAAGTCTGTACCTGAGAGTCAGACTAAGCCAAATCCACTTTCTTTTTAATCGATTTCTATAAGCAATGTATGAGTGCTCTTGTTTTCTGCTCTACTGAAAAGTAACAAAAATGGACTTGTGTTAGTAGTCTGGCTCCCAAATACTGAAGTATGATCAACACCTCAGTTTACGAACTTACCATCAGTTTCTCGTATATCCACGACCTTCTTTATCGTACTAAGTGATAACATTTTGATATGTTTATACGGTTTTCCCTGACTTAATTTAGTTGTATGCAGTCCGTTTGCTGTATTTGGAGTCTTTAACGAGTTAAAAGCTTTTGATCTTTTCTTACATATTTCAAGAGTATCAGTAAACAAGAACAAAACTAAATGATCGCCACGCCCACTTAAGCCCTCACTAAGTTCCATCACGTCGCATTTACCAATAAATGACCGATGTGAAGAAACTAAATGCGGTGGACAGTTATCAATTTCATTGAAAATGTCAAACATAACTAACTGACCCTCAGTTTTCCTTTTATCTTCATTTATGTACGTCATGACTTCTTTAATACTGCTAATGGATAATTCCAATGCACTATGATCTGGATTATTTTTATTCGTGTGTTTAAGAATATCTGTAGTATGCAAATATTAATTATTATAATTAATTATAATAACTTATTTAATAATTGAAATTAGTAAATTTACCGTTTAGTAATAAACTAATACTGGGCAATCTTTGTACTGGCTTAATCAGTAATTCCTTCAAACTTTGTCTGCCACATTCAGGTTTTGTCTGACACACTTTCAGAAAAGCGTGAAATCGTGGTTTATTCTGATCACATTGATCAAGCATCTCCTTCGTATTTTCGAAGAAATTGACATATGGTGGATACGCCTTGACTAGGTCAGGTGCAAACTTCAAAAATATATTACCTATGCTTATATCTTCCATCCAATAAGTGGCACTATATCTCAATTCTTCTAACATTTTTTTGTGGACTTCATAAATGGGTGGAAAATTTCCAAATATAATTTTAGCTTCTGTACCATTTAACAATTCACCACTAGTATCTATGAGATCTTCCAATGGTGATTTAAACAACTGAAAAAATAAATAATATTGTACTATAAATATATATAAAGTATTATTTGCTTGAGCACATTGCACATTATAATTCGTCAATATATTACCGTCATAATTGTACTAAGAATTCCAACATAATTTGACTCCGTTTGTACTAATTCTAAGAAAACTTGATGACGCGGAGATAAATTTTTCCTAGTGTTGTCGGTATTAACAGCTTCCACTTCTGGAATATCTGATAATTATTAATAATTCAATTTTGTATTATCTTCCCCTTCGTATGGTTCATATAATATGTTATTACTAAGATATGCAATTGTTAGCGCATGTTAAATAAAACAATACAAAACATAATATTTAACTTAATAAAATAGATGAACCACAAAGGAAGGGAAGATGTTATGGGACTGTTAAAAAAGCATCCAAATATTTCATAAAACGACAGTTAACTAATAATTGTAGAAAATCTTTATAAAGTAGTGTAGATTTCACTATAAAACCAATATAGAAATAAATACATAAATCTTAAAACTAACTTACCATCAAGTAGTGGTTTTTCTGGACTTGTTGTACAATCCAAGAAACTTCCACTAACACTTAAATGCCCTGCATCACTGATACTAGATCGTCTTTTATGCAATGCTGGTGAATCTGTACCATTTTGAACCAGACTAGATAAAGTTTCTGCCAAGCGTTTACGTTTCCGTCTTGTAGATGCTGTACTGGGAGTAACAGCTTGCTGACTATCACGTCTTGCTGTTACAGTTGGCGATAGAACGGATTCCAAATACTATATATAAAATAAATCATTAAATGAGGAAGTGTATATAATAATCTTATTATACTTACATCTTCAAACAAATATTCCTTCTCATCAGCAGCACCTTCATTTTGAACAGATGTCCAAAACCATTCAGCTTTAACAATGTGAGCTCTCACAGATGCTAAATCGGGTAATGCATTTACATTTGATTCATCTACAACCTGAAATAATAAGAATTATTAAGTATACAGTACAATATCACTTTCAGATAACTAAGAACATACGCTATAGATGTTTATTAGAACGTAACATAAAATTTTCTTTTTAATTTTCTTTCTAATATTACATAATATTACAACACAAAATCTATAATGATAAAATATATTATGGAAATAATAAAAAATATATATATAAATAATTAAATATTATTTGAAATTACTGTTACAGATTTGAAAACCTGTTGACACATAATGTCACAAAATGAAAGACAATTTTTATATTTATATTAATATTAAATCACATTAAAGAAACACACAATACATATAGTACACATAAACAAATAATATACAATAAATAATTTCTACATTTGTAGATAATCCTCTAAGACTTCCATTCTCCCATACTTGCAATGTACTTTTTCCGTGCCTACAACTTAACACTTAACCACATTAGCTACCAATCATTAAGTTATAATACCACAACCTACACAACTTTCTATTAAAAAAAGTAAAAGTACCAAAGGTAATGTTTTATCGTCCTGTTTCTCCAGTTTCAAATCATCACCTTTCAAAGGGCAATGTTTAGAAGAAACATTTGAGTATTTTCCATCTGATGCAAAGATATTTCTTGAGCCATGTTTGGACTTCGATATTTCTGCTACCTTAGCAAGTACAGGAAGTGGACTAGGTAAAGGAGTATATATTTGCCTTTGTTGAATTTCTGAAATTTGGTGACTAACCAGATCATATTGTTTAAGTGCTGGAGAAAAATTTAACTGATTAAAATTGTTTCTTTTCATTTTTGTATGAGAACTGTGCAAAAGAGGATCATTTAATTCTGAGCCATATTGCCCTACTAGATTCGGATGAGAATGTATTTTCTTAAATTTGAATTTATCTGAAGAAGTAATTCTATGAATATTGACATAAGACTTGGCTTTGCATTTAACGTATCTTCTTGGAGTTGTAATCTTTTTGCTAAGGAAAAAAGAATTATGTAGACATTGTGTGCTTTTACAAAATTTCAATAAATGAGCTGTACCACCAGAGCAATGATTGTTCATGTACCGAGTAATTTTTTTTTTACATAATGTAGATGATTTAAAATTATAGAATTCTGATTGAGTATGAATATTACCATTATTAATATTCTTATATTCGTTTAAAGCAATATCAGATACAATGTTGCCAATTCTTTTGTTATTGTAATCTAATGAAGATGTAAAGGTAGGATATTTCCCCAATAGAGTAGATGGAATAAGAACATTTGTTCGTTTTAATGCTGTTAAGTCATTTGTTGGTGTTATGTTAAAATTAGACTTTGTTGTGGACATATCAATACCAGAATCAGTTTGTGATATTGATAACTTAGATGTATTGTGAGATTCGTCTGGAAAACTTAGATAATCATTTAAATTATCATCTATATAGATATCTGAATCTTGACTAATATCATCTAGTATGGAATGATTGCATACATTTTCTTTGCATTCTACATATTGATGAATCAGAGAACAAAAATTACATGACAAATGTCTACTACTTTGTTTCTTGATGAAATTAAAACATCTACTGTTGCAAGTATATGAAGGACCTACTTTTTTTTCATTAGGTATAGTATGAGTATATGGGTTATAGAAAGTAAAGGAAAATGGTTTCGTTTCCGTATAATGGTGTGGAGTATAATTAGGATTTTTAGTACATGGTAGCATATCAGAAGCACTGAAGTTTGATTTCTTGTACTGATGACTTCCTATATGTGTTACCTAAAGAATTTAGCATTCTTCTAGATATCATATGTTTATGTTTACGTTGTATGATCTATATAATATCCATTAAATATCCAATATTTTATTATAAGCTTACCACATGTGTACAATTAGGATCATCAATTTCTGTAGATTCACCACCTTGCTGTTGTAAAACTTCACACATATGACGTTTTTCTTCTTCAGGAAAACCGAAGAAACATACTTTTGCACCAAAAAATGGTTTTAGTTTATAGGTTGCAATCTGTATAAAAATAATGATTCTGAACATGAAATGTAATATTTATCAACTCTTAATTACACTTTTCCGTATCCCTTAATGAATAGTTAAATAACTTTACCAAAAATAACTAGTAAAAATTAAATAAAAATAATTAATTTAGCATTTTTATAATTATCACTAATTATATTATTACCAATTCTTCATTATTTCCATAATTGGAAATATCGTCTTTGGCATTCCAGAGAGCTATCACCCACTCCATGGACATAATAGGGACCCTAAATGTGACAGCATACCGGTACTTATCTCCACCACAACAATTGGCAATGAGATGCGTCACCTTTGCACCCATTTCTTTTCTGATACTTCCACCCATATTGTGTATCATATTAATTAACTTAGTCTAGAATAATAAATCAAAAATCTTATTAAAAATTTAACTGTTGTCTAATGTGAATCAAGAATTTAAAACTAACCAATTCATCTTTTTTCCTGAATCCAGTAAACACTACTACTGTGCCTACCATGGCTTGTGTATACATTGGTCTATTAATACTAGGTAACGAGTCCTTTCTTTCTGTCAATTGCAGAAGTGCCGTCGGCCCCAAAATTCTATAATGTAAGCAGAAATCAAAGTGTTTCTATTATCTTAACCCATTCGCAATGGTAGCAATCTTACATGCATAGGCCCAAACAGTGGATATAGTAAAAGAACGTAACAATGGTTTCTATATAACAAGGTGTATTTGACCCAAAATATAATAAAATATTGCAACAAATTAAATACAAGAAATATAATATTCTTAGTGAGTTATGATAATTATGTTTTTCACTTTTTATTTTTATTTGTTATAATATTGTTTGTACCAAATGATATCCATTACATCTTTGATGTACCAGACCAAAGGCCATACAAATGTTCAGTACAACTTTGACATACTAATACATTATTCACTGCGAACGGATTAAATAAAGCAACACAATAATGAGATATAACGAACCTATGAGCACTTTTATGAAGAGCATCATATTCAGGTCCCTCAAAACTTTTTAATATAAAATAAGTACAATATGCCGTATCTTCTACATATTCTAAACCAGTTTTTGATTTGAGAACAGGTACGTTAAACTGCTGAGCAGCAGCACCAAGCGCAGGATCATCACCAGCTGCACCAATTAAACATATTCTTTTCTTACGTGGTATAATCACAGCTGAAATTAAAAGAAAAATAACTTCTTAAGTATTAATTATGTAACATAGTTCATATTTTGCTGATTTATTTTAATTGTTCATGCATATTGATTGAATAATTACACATAATTTCATAAAATAATTCATATAAATATCTCTATTTTTAAAAAATTATTAGAACTATATTTATGATTTATTAGCATTATATTAAATAATTTTCTATGTGTACAACATATAAAAATACCTTATAATTTTTGTGAAATTTAAATAACTGACAGAAGAAAAAAACATGAGACATTAATGGTAATATTTACTTTCTGAATTATTTGTTTCAGATTATTCTAAATATCATAACCACAAATTATTCAAACAATAATCACAGTTGGAAAGAATGGCAATTTTAAAATAATGACTCATAAAAGCAATAAATGCATAGAACTTGACAATAAAATTAATCCTTTTACATTTACCAGTTGAAAGTGCAATAAACACCTATTGTCACAGTCCTAATCTTGTTTCACATAATAGGTACCAAATCACCCTCCTATATTCCTTTCACTTTTATATCTTAAATACTCCATAAACAAGAAAGTACATATAAATAGTGACTAACCTAATACAAATACAAACATTAGATATATGAATATACAATATTTAAAATAACGTTTTTATTTATTTATTCATGAGTCACTAATTAATAAACAATTTAATGATAATATTTCAAATGATGTTTGTATGTCTTTATAGCTATATTAATAAATAATAAACAGTATTTAGAATAAAATTTCAAACTAATAAAATTTAGCAAAATATATGTTTACAAAATTTTATGTTTTAATTTGTATACTAATAAACAATGAATATGAACAATATTTAAATTCAAATATTTTGTTTTGCTAGTAATTAATCATCAAGTATTACTGAAAATTTAGTAATAATATTTTTCAACATATGGTTAAAAAAGTTTTTAAACTGTACTAGTATACAATAAAAATAAAATTCTTACAAATTTGATGCATGTTTAATTGTTATTAATAATAACGAAAATTTGACAAAAATATTTTTTAATAGATATTATAAAACAGTTTCATAAATAAATTATAAAAATGAAATATTATAAAAAATATGTCATATTATTATTTCACTTTTCAAATAAAATAATCTGTAATAAACAATATGTTTTACAAGTGATAGTGACTCTTTTATATGTAAAAATAAGTTAAGCGAATTGAGAATAAATATTAACGTATTATCAATTCAAAACAAATAAATGTATAACGAGTTATAAGACAATTTGTGTTAGTATTTTGAATTGACAAATTGTACATTTCTAACGTAATTTTGGAGAATAAGTCAAGGCCGAATTTACAAGCAACCATTAACATTCCTTTAGTGGTAAATTCAGAATGTTATGCGAAGATATATTACGAAAATAACAATTATTATGTTTTGATTTACTACAAATCACGTCCAGTGACAGATATAAGACACTAACATTGTCGCGTGAGTTTTGATAAAGAGTGAGGTAGGGTTAGTTACTACAGGTGCTTACCGTGTAGACATCAATTAACAACATATGTACATTCCTAATCATGATATTAAAAATGATAATACTGGAAGACTTACATTCATTCCTAACTGCTTCTTCACTATTTATATCACTGATACTGCTGTGAACGCTTTGCTCTTCCATTTTGGCCGTTAGTTACAACATCGTTCTGCTCGTACACTCTTCTTCGTACTGATTCTTCGTATTGGAAGCGCCTCCTACAGGCGAATCCAGCGAGAAAAAGAATTCGGAAAATACGGGAAAACTGCGGAGTTTGATGACGCAGCGTATGACACCCTCAAATTATGCGGACAAAACTCAAGCTCAAACCCCAAACAGGTCTTTCAGGTATACTTCTTTTCTCAAATCGTACAGTACACGGAATTCTTCAGACATGTGTGTGCGTGTATGACATATGTTTACATATATATGCTTCGCTGTTGGCACTGAAAGGCACTTATCGTCGGCATTTATTTAAAATCCATTATGAACATAACATTCGTGTGGTCCATAGTCATTCAACTGAATCTGACATAACTGTCATGGAGTTGCACGGATACATAATTATTAATAGTACTACAACTTTAGTACTTTTTTCGATCTTTGCTTTTAATCCTTTTACTTTAACTGTATATTTATTGTTAATTATGCTTCTTTTTTTATCTATAGCATGAATAAACAATGAATTTCACTTACTTCAGATTGGTATGAACAATTTATAAAGAAATTGATAAGTTCAAGCTCAAATGAAATATCTATATATCACTGCAATAAACTTGTTTGGAACTATAGTTTGTAGAATATTAAAAAATAATATATATATATATATATATATATATAGAGAACAATCTATTATGAGAAATACTTTAATAATATTTGTAGATTAGAAATACTTAAAACCAATAATAAATGACAGCAACAGATCACACGCGCCGTTAATATTACCATTGGAATGAAGTTATCGATAATATAACATATCTGTACAGTATTTTACGTCACGTGGTACCAATCCTTTTTCACTATATCTTCGAATTATATAAATGACAACTGCTATTGCAAAATTATATTTCTATATAAAAAAATGTATTAATAAATGAATTATACTGTAATTTTTAATAAAGCAAATTATATAAAATTCAGTAGTTTCAGTGGCACATATTATATTATTGAATTTTTTATTTAAATATGTGGTAACATTGAATTCATGACATGTTCTCTGTATACACATTTAAATTTTCAAAAAATGGAAGATTAAATTAATTTAATTACTATCTTAACTGTATAATTATTATATTATCAAATATAATGATATTTAGAAAATAAATAAATAATGATATTTATTATATTAATGTTGCCAAAATTTAAACGAGTTAGTATCTCTTATATTCGATGTAAATTATTTTACAGACATTAAAAATGCTAATTATGTATTTCATTAACGTTTATTCGCGTTTTAAAAATATAACACGCACATACATATGTATATATGTAAAGTTAATGTTACAATACAATTTTTACAAGTCAACATATCAATAACCGATTATTATAACGTAAATGTACACGTATTGAAGAGACGCAAAATTATTAACTATATGATAATTTATAAGTACATTAACGATGATGTTTACATTTAATGTACAATTATTTGTATTTTTTTATCTGATTTATAAATAATTTATGATTTCATCAAAAAATTTTTATTTTATTAACTTTCTATGTAAATGAAACGAAGCACTATTCATTTCATATATATATGTTCAAGAAGAATAATTACCTTTGATAATGAATATTTTGTTTAAAAAACTCAAAATATAATTTTATATTACTTAAAATTGTTAATATTATATAATATTTGTCTAATAATCAGCAAATATAAATAATGAGTAACATATCCAAGGTATTATATTTTATATCATATACTATTAAACACTAGTGTGCCAGTTTGTTTGGGAAGCGAATATTGACTTATTTAAAAAATTTTGCATGCTTTAAAGAAATATATAATTTCTCGACATACTTAAATAAATGTCAAACTCAGGCACCATCGGTATGTTTTAAGAAACAAAAGCGTATCAATGTATATAAATCTATACATATTTTTTACAAGTATTTTATCTTCGTTTCGTTTCAGATTTAAATCTAAAATTTGCCTAATGTACGTTAGCCTTAGAACTATAAACAGAGTAAACAATTTATATGAAAAATTACATTATTTTGGATACTACATATTGAACGTAAGAATAAGTAATTTTTATTTTACATTTACCTATGTATTAAAAAATATTTTATTCGCATACTTGATAAATATACTATTATAAAACTATGTTATGATTTAAAAGTACAAAAATGGTTGTACCATTTCAGGGTTATATTATCTGCGTATTTTTAAATAAAAGCACCATATTCAAAACACGGTTTCTATATTGATATCACGTTACAATACTTATTTAAGTGATTTTGATTAACCTTTATTAATCGAATCCTATCAATATTCTACTACACACAACTATCTAATGGTAAAAATAGTCTATAAATTTTCTGCTTGTACAGTTATTTTTTTCAAAAAATATTGAATACTTAAAACGGGCGAACATATTCTTTATAAATAATGCATAATTAAATTAGTCATTTGAAAAATAATACATTTAAATTTGTTCTGTACTATTCACCTTTGTAATTTCCTTGGTACACTAAAATAAAGTTTCTATATTATTCCATTAATTTTTCGCTACTTTACATTTTGGTACCATTGATTACTTTAGTCATAAGTTATAGCATAACTTAATGTTTACAGCAACAGAAACATTGCTTGCAATATATGCATCTATATAACATTTAAACAATTAATTATGAGGTAACTTGTAAAAAAATTATATATATAAAATTAAGAATAAAATAATTATTATTAATAAAAATCATCGAATGAACATTTCAAACAAACTTTTCTGTATAAAGTATGAAAGTACTTTCTGACTATTGTAAATTCTTCAATAAAATATAAAATTCGAATTGGATAATAAAGTATCCTTTAAAACATAGGAACTTATTATTAAGAATGCAAGTAATGATAATGAAAAACTTTTGAAAATAGTTGCAGAAAATGTTATAAATAATCTATGTGATTTCTGTATGTAATTCATGCATAATACATATTCTAATTTATATATAATAATCCATAATCGGATTTAGTTTCTATGTCGTAAGTCGTAACAGATAATTTTATGTTGTAGACAGTGTGAAATCATACCAAAGAAAGGCTACCAAGCATAGCATTACAATCCATATCAGCAAATCACATAGCTGTATGAAAATATTTCTAAACATTTTTAAGGAGATTGCACAACATTTTTGGTCAGAATGAAGAATGCGATTATGACAACACAGGTTATCATTTGGAGTGTAAATTTTCCTCTTCATCGTCGCTGTAGTCATCACTCAAATAGTAATTACTCCGTGAACATTCGTAACGACCAGTCTTTTTCGGTGGCGGACTGTACAAAAGATCATAAGGATTATATATATTAAAAGTGACATAAATAAATAACACTTCCATATTTGTACTTCCACATATTTGTACTTTACTTAAATAAATATTAATATTTGTCAGGAATAAAGAAAAATTAAATGTATTTTTAATAACAAGCATTGGTTAAGTTGTGTATTATAGCTTAAAATTAATGTATTAGACAGTGGGATTGTATACTAACACAACATGCTGCAAATGGGTGGTGTGAAGTATTGAAGGTTTTCATATAGAAGCAGTACAGAATGAAGTGGTGTTGCATGTTAGTCAATGGACTCAAATGCTGTGATGTACCTTGTCTGATCTTCATCATTATTGCTGCTATTACTGCCATTTGGACTGCCATCTCTTTTGGGACTTGCTGGTGGAGATAGTGCTTGCATTAAACGGCCTTTACTTTCATTCCAAATTGTCGACTAGAAATAAAGATAATTAAAATGTACATGAGATAAAAATTCTCCATTTTTATTTTTATTTTATCTTCAGCAATAAATATGCAATACATTGTTTGTAACAAAAACATACATAAAATAAAAAACCACAAAGAAAAAATCAAGTTTTAAAAATAATATTTAAAACAAAATCTTTATTATGAATATTTGTTTTATCTGTAAACGTATTTTATGTAAAGAAATTTAAAAAGTAATCGATTATATGTATTAAACGATTGAAATATTGTTTATTCTTTTGTAATGCATATTTTGCAACGTACTAGTAGTATTGAATACAAGATAATTATCAAAATTATTCCTCCATAAATGCTACCCACCAATCTACCTTCTCTGCCAAATAGTAATAGGAAAGCATCTATAAAATCTCGAGACTTTTCTTCCCATTTGCTTATTATATCCATACGTTTTTCACCAATGTTCTCCATGACACGTTTACCCTTATCTTTCAGATCATCGAATTTATTTTGTAAACGGAATTTCTTTTCCTAGAATTACACATTATGCTACATAAAGTGTTACCATGTATTATATTTAAAAAATGTGGACTTACACTGAGGAAAGAAACATTAAGCTCTTTGGCACTATAACCTCGTGCAAGATTCCTTCTTACATATATATCATAATCTTTAACTATTCTTGCTACAATATCTGACGTTGATACTCCTTCAGTCCTTTGTGTAGCTACAAACATGCCTTTAGCTTTTAATGCTGCATAAACATCTGTGCTATCATCTGTCATATAGGGTATATCATCATGAGCAACGAAGTCAATCTATTTAATTAAATGTTAGACCATTAACAATCTATAAATATCTTTTGAAAAATAAAACTAATAGAATTAATCTTACTTTATGTTTTGTAAGAAACTCATCATCCAATTCCCAAGGAGCATCTCTAACTACTTCATCTACATAACGACAATGCCTTACAGCATCGTATCTTTCAATATCTGTCATGACTGTTCTGCCTTTCTTACTATGTGTTAATTCATCGTTACAAACTGAAATGTAATACAGATTATAAATCCAATAAAAGACAAACTACTTTTCCTAACACTCCATAATTTTTCAAATTTATATATTTAAAAAATAATATTTATATAATATTTACCTCCTACAATAAGGTATACATTAGGGAAAATATTCTTTGCTTGTAAAAGTTGTCTTGCATGTCCTTGATGAAACAGGTCATAGATACCATCTGCGTATACTCTGATTTTTCTTGGTGCTGGATTACAAAATATATTATCATTGTAAATAAAATAGTGATGCTGAATAAACTTTTATTTCAACTAACCTTTGCCATTTTTTGCCATTTTTAATGTAATACATATATTATAATCACATGCATTTCTTTCCGCAAGTGCTTCAGGATCATCACTAAAAGGAGCTTCTTTACAGATTGACTAAAATATACCCAAAAATACATTAGTATCTTAATTAAAATTATAAGGAATACGTAAAATAACAAATATAACTTTAAACAACTAACAAAAATATGTTTGTTTACAAGTATTATTTCTACAATATGAACTGTATGCCATTATTTATATTCTTAACTAAGTAATTACAGTATTCTGCAAGAATTTATTAAAAAAAAAATTACATAAAAAAAGACATTTATGCTAGCATTTCATATTTTATTTTATTATATATTACATGTATAAATAAGATAGTTTCAATTATTAAAGTTACAGTAGAAAAAGTTAATATTTAATTATATCATATTTAATGGTATAAAAATTATTAAAAAAAAAAGTAAACTCACTGGAAGTTCTTTGTGGTAATTTGAAATTTCACTATTATGTTTTTTTAGTGAAATTTGACTTGAATCATTATTCGAATTCCTGTTGGTCCCCCAAGTCATTGTCACCAGCTGTTAATATTATTGAAAAATATATTTTTTACAACAAAATACAAATTAATTTATACATATCACATTATCAAATTTTTCCAATTAAACATTTATGCAAATTCTAATTTTTGTTTGTAACAAAAAAGAAAAATAATTTCTGCAATTATAATAATATTCTACTGTACTAAAATGGATTTATTTTACATTAAAGTGTTAAATATATTTTATTCAATTCTTCATCAGAAAATATGTTTTAGAGTATACGTTAATATAGCTACTCATGAAACATTCCAGTAAGACTATTTAAGGAATGAAATATTCATGTATTATATTAATTTAGATACGTTCATGATCTTGCATCATATGATACCACTATCATGTGTTCTTACTTCTACATAGAAACTATGACATTAAAGACATATTATCTCTGACCGATTAAAGTTAATTTTTCAATGTAATAATGATCTTTTAACATAACATAAGACATAAATTGCGTATCAATTCTGTACAATATCTTAAAGAATAAAATTAGTCCATATGATGTGTAATGCATATTATTCATATTGATATCTTATGTTAAATATGATAATTATACGTTGACACCAATTTAAGTAATGAATGAACAACTTATTAAAAACAAACTATCACATTTGATCATGCCCTAGATTATTTTCGACTGAAACATATTGTACATATTAATACTTACAGGATAAATTGGAGAATCTTCTTTAGAACAGGATGCATTTTCCCCATTTTGAATATCTGAATATGGTGTAGAATTCAGCATAGTTTCTTCTCTAACACGCTTTCTAGACATTTTTTATTGTTTCAGTATCGAATCCATAAAAACCCTATTAAACATAAGCAAATATGTGACACATGTATATAACTGTTTCTAATTAACACATATAAACAAAAATTATATAAAATATTTTATTTAGACTACATAAAACACAGTAATTGATTAAATTGAATGAAATATAAAATGTATAAATTTAGCAAATAGGACATAATAACACATTTATATAGTGCATGGCAATAACAGTAGCAAGTTTAAAAATACTGACATCACTCCATGTAATTTAAAAATGCAAAATTAAAGTTATAATCAAACTGTTTTTAAAAATATCATATGAATTACTTATTTTTCATTACTTTAAACTTAGTATACAAAAATTAACGAACGTTTTACCTAGCCTTTATAAGCTATCTTAAAATTATTGATCAACATGGTTAATACAGATTTAAGATTCCAAATCATTATCGTTATAAAAAATTTGCGAACAGTCGTATAATTTCAAGGAAGCAATGTAAGATACGCTAAATTTTTTTGTAAATTAATCATGTTCGGTATTATTACATGTTAACATTTGATAAATATTCACTGACATACATTTAGTTCCTGCAAAGCACCTAACATGTCAAAAAATAAAATATGTTCCAAGGTTAAAAAAAGAACAAATGAAACAACATGTAACCCGGATAGTAAACTTGAATACAATATTTACAACGTAATTACAACTGAATTATACAAAAAACATACAAAACTAAGTCACTTGTTCAACCCGGCTTTCTATAATCTACTATCATGTGAATTATTTATTAGACATACATATATATTTTCATTTAAAATTTTCATGAATTCCAATTTAATTGGCTGAACTTTTTCACGCCCTATTTTTTTTTAATATATACCGCACAACTACACTCATAAGTAATAGGATATGACGAAAAATCGAAGTTCCGTTAAAAGTTTGTTTAACTCGTAAGTTTTGCTAGGTAATGGTACGAAATTTTGATAATAAAATTTATAGGAAAAAATATCTACAAACATTTATACAAATTTTACATTTCATATTATTATTACTACATACTATTTAACAACTGATGCAGCAGACGTCTGCCACGACACTTGCCGTGGAAATTCTGCGCACTGCAAGCGTTTCAATGTGCAATCAGGGGCGGAATAACAGTACTATGATACCCAAGTAATAATCTAGGAAGTATATATATATATATATATATATATATATATATGAGTGTGTATTCTGCATTAGAGAAGTACGGGAATTACGAACGAGGGCAAGAAGCCATACCAATACCTTTATTTAAATTTAGTTTCGTTTTCGTAACAATCGAAAATAAAAGTTCCAAAATATCATGCTCCAGACTGTTTTCCATTGAAATACATTTTAAATTTATTTTTACCTGGAAGATATCTAACAAGATTATTAATTTTAATAAATTTGTTAATTTTATTATTATTATTATTGGAGTTAGTGTGATGGAAAATATTTCGACAACTGCGACACAAAATTTATAATTTTCATTTAATTTTTATTGAAAGTTTGAATATAACATAAAATTATGAAAGTTCGTTGATCGACAACATAATCCGATACAAAAATAATAGATTAATACAATGTACTGGTTTTTTTGAAATTCCCGCGTAAAATATGAACTAGAAAATAGAAGAAGCATGATACGTGGTTTTTTTTGTGGTTTGAAATAACATACTGTTTTAAAACGTACAGCTACGTTGTGTAGACGTCTAGACTGCTGAAGAAAATAAATTAATAATTGCAATATATGGTATCACGATTAATTAAACATTAATTTTACACAGTACAATAATCACTTTTAATGTATAAAATACGTTTAAATTACACCGAATATATACGACTAGATGTTTCACGATAGAATGAGCGCCAGTTACAAAAAGGGGAACACTGATGACGTAATATCGGATGATCAGAACGTCACATACTTGTAATATCACATGCGCACGTATATGTTTTAATTCAGAAGAAATTTATGATGATTAATTGCCTTAATACCTACATATTCAAGATAAAAATGTTAATACACTTTTAGTATTAATACATGCAATTATGTTTAAATAGTAATATGATAGAGGTAATACTTTTACTATTTTGCCGATACATATAATTGAAATTATCATATTATATGAAATTCACGACTGCAGAAATAATACGAATTAAATTAATGGAAATTTCCATATCTATATAATATTTTCTTACAGACCATACTATATGTGTTTACTTTGCCTTAATAATGTATTGATAAAACTATAAATATGAATCATAGTAGAAAGTATATAATTATACTTACATGATTCAAAGTAATGTTCTGTACTTTTATTTTTCTATCAAGTGCTAGTTTATTTCTATAACTAATAATTGTTTGAAAGTTATGACATTAATATTTTGCTTCTAAACGAAATAAGCGCTTGTTTATAAATTAAATAATTGATATGTTCAAATTTATAATAAAAATAAGCATCATTTTCATTTGTCAATTACATATTTATATGAGATAGTGTCGGTTTATTTGACGAGTGAAGTTATATAAATGAGACTAAAAATATGAATGAATACATATCTAAAGAAATAGTTTTGTATGCGGTTCACAAGCTATTTTATTTTTCATCGTACTTAAACACTTTCAATAATATTGATTTAATAACACCACACAACGGATTATAAAAATTTCAGTTACAATTAATATGAAATAGCGAATTCACGCTGATAAAGTCATTTATTATATATAAAATATATCTTACGAAATACAAGAAGATTAAAACAATAACGTGTAATTATAATAAAAATCGATAATAAATCATGTTTTCCTTGTCTTTCATTTAAACCAATAGATTATAAGAAAAAAATTAATTTATGTTGAAATCACTTATTTTTAAAAAAATTAGAAAAAAATTTAAGTATATATATATATATATATATACATATATATGTGCATAGATTCATATATATTAGAATCACATATAAAAAACGTAAGTTTTTCGGCGAGAAACATGCAATATATTATTTAAATCCTCCATGTTTTAATTTCATTGAATTAAAACTAAATTGTTAGCAAAAATAAATATATATTTAATAATTGTTATAATTTTATTTCGTTAATAGTTAAATGCATGTATATTAAATAAGAAGCAAAATTGAAAACTTAGTTATGCATACAATTTTTTAACGATATACCATCAAAAATTAAATGTTCACGCAATAATGAATATGGTTTCCTTGTCAGCTTCTAACTCTTTTTATACTTGGAAAATTTTACTTTTTTGAAGTATAGAATATATTTATATATGTATGATGTTTAAAGGTAAAGCAGGACAATCAATTAAAAAGCTGAGATTTATTTTAAATAATAATTACTTTAAAATAATCTCTATATAATTATACGAATTATAACTTTACTTTTTCGCACTGATTTTGTTTCAACATTTTTCGTCACAATATATCGCACAAACAGTCCTTCAGTAGCTTCTAATGAAATGTTTACAGCCGCACATTACTTGTATTCATTTCGTAAGTACCTGAATGTACTTTTTATGTTGGTCTTCATGAAATAATTAATGAGGCAGTGCCTACCAAAGATCAATGATAATTACATTAATGTATTTATTTTTAATATCTATATACTTTGATATATATATACATATACAAATGAATATTCAATTATTATTTTCATCACATTTCTATATATATATATATATTTATTTATTTATTTATATGGTAATAAAAATTTTTTTTAAGGATTCTGTTGCAAATAGTCGTAATTTTTATAAGGGGATATATTTTGCATTGCAAATTTGCATGCATTAGTAAATATCAGCAATTATTGATTACAAATAAATAGCAACAAGATCAGGAAGTTGTAACACTACTCCACTCAGTCATTATTTTTTAACATCATTGTTCTTAATTCACGTTGTCATTACACAATAATCGGAAGAAACGTAATGCCCAGCATTGTCACCGTTTTCGATCATTTCAGTCATATCCCTTAATTTTACTGTTATTTTTATTTGTAGATGACATAATAACAAAATAAGTGTAAAGTTACAGCTAAATAAGCGTAATAAGTTGATATAAATTAGCTGTAAAATCATAAGGTTAAATACAATTTATATAAAACTGAAAATACATATTTTTTTTATATATATATATATATATATACATATATATGTGCATAGATTCATATATATTAGAATCACATATAAAAAACGTAAGTTTTTCGGCGAGAAACATGCAATATATTATTTAAATCCTCCATGTTTTAATTTCATTGAATTAAAACTAAATTGTTAGCAAAAATAAATATATATTTAATAATTGTTATAATTTTATTTCGTTAATAGTTAAATGCATGTATATTAAATAAGAAGCAAAATTGAAAACTTAGTTATGCATACAATTTTTTAACGATATACCATCAAAAATTAAATGTTCACGCAATAATGAATATGGTTTCCTTGTCAGCTTCTAACTCTTTTTATACTTGGAAAATTTTACTTTTTTGAAGTATAGAATATATTTATATATGTATGATGTTTAAAGGTAAAGCAGGACAATCAATTAAAAAGCTGAGATTTATTTTAAATAATAATTACTTTAAAATAATCTCTATATAATTATACGAATTATAACTTTACTTTTTCGCACTGATTTTGTTTCAACATTTTTCGTCACAATATATCGCACAAACAGTCCTTCAGTAGCTTCTAATGAAATGTTTACAGCCGCACATTACTTGTATTCATTTCGTAAGTACCTGAATGTACTTTTTATGTTGGTCTTCATGAAATAATTAATGAGGCAGTGCCTACCAAAGATCAATGATAATTACATTAATGTATTTATTTTTAATATCTATATACTTTGATATATATATACATATACAAATGAATATTCAATTATTATTTTCATCACATTTCTATATATATATATATATTTATTTATTTATTTATATGGTAATAAAAATTTTTTTTAAGGATTCTGTTGCAAATAGTCGTAATTTTTATAAGGGGATATATTTTGCATTGCAAATTTGCATGCATTAGTAAATATCAGCAATTATTGATTACAAATAAATAGCAACAAGATCAGGAAGTTGTAACACTACTCCACTCAGTCATTATTTTTTAACATCATTGTTCTTAATTCACGTTGTCATTACACAATAATCGGAAGAAACGTAATGCCCAGCATTGTCACCGTTTTCGATCATTTCAGTCATATCCCTTAATTTTACTGTTATTTTTATTTGTAGATGACATAATAACAAAATAAGTGTAAAGTTACAGCTAAATAAGCGTAATAAGTTGATATAAATTAGCTGTAAAATCATAAGGTTAAATACAATTTATATAAAACTGAAAATACATATTTTTTTCGTTTTTGTTTTATAAAACGCATCTCGATAAATTAAAGTTAGCAGAAAATGTAATATACTATACATTGTAATTTATCCAAATCTGAAAATTTTATAGAGCAGTTCATTACGTTTCATGTAAAAGGCATTCGTATACAGTTCTAACTTCAACGCGGTAATATTATTGACATTATTATTAAATAACATTTACTGCACCTAAATTTAATAATAAAAATACCTAAATCACAATATGTTTTGCTATCACGTGATAGCAACGAGTTGGTGTCTTTCCAGTCTATTTTTCGCAGTTTTATCATTCTGCCAAAGAAGTAGATTCAAAATATAGATAATTGGGACGAAGAGATCGCAGTGACAAAAACTTCTTCAACGTCCTCGGAGCAACGCTACAAGAAATTTAGAAATAAAATTTAGAAACGGTACGCAATTTACAAAGCTATAATAAAACGAAATTTAGCATCGTTCGGCTTTCAATGGCGCGAAATATAGTCTTATATAAATTTGATTATGTTAAAGTAAGTCCGTGTATATACATTATTTTGAGATATAATTTTTATGAATGATACGAATGGGAACAAATTGTAGAAATTTCGTCAATGCGAACTCACAAATGACTCAAATAATTTCATATCGTTAGTTTTATGTGCAACGTATCACAATTTGTCGAGTGAGAAGCACAAGTTTTATCTTATATAATTTGCAACAATTCCAAATAGTAAAAAATGAGATTGCTATTGTATCAAATTAATGAAATACAATTAACAAATATGCAAAATATATCAATTACGTACAGGTGTGTCTGTTCATACTTAGGCTGGCGTATGTTCCATAGGTATAATGTAGCTACCTAAAATTTGTGATTTCTCCATAAATTTTATTAAAGCAAATGTTTTTTTATCGTTTTATATTAAGGTGTTAAAGTTCTGGGGTAAAAGCAAATGGCTAATTAGTAGGCTATGCACTAAGTGCCTCATGCAACGCTTGCTGTTGATCTGCTGTCAATGCATTTATACATGCTTGGAACATAGACTCGTTGTTCTGAAACAAATAAAGTAAATAATTACTGCTTAGAACATCAAAGCACAATATGAAAGACAAATATTAACGTTTCTTATATTAATATTATTATACCTGTATTTGTCTAACAATACTAAGAATTCTACCCATGACAGGATTATCTATAGGTACTGCATCTTTAAAAAGCGCTTCTGCAAAGTAACTTATTAATCGAGGTAGATTAGCATTATTTGGTCCTAAAACTGTTACATGATTTGCTTCGATCAAATCACACAGATATCCATAAACGTGAGGTGCTTCATCTTCATCTTCTACCACTGGTAGCCAAGAAAGCCTATGTTTAAATAAATTATATGAAATATGAAGAATTATATAATTATTATGTAATAATAATTAATTGGAGATTTAGTACATAATAGATTAAGAATTTACCAATGAGGAAGTATTTCATCCACGTTGATTGCCTTATTATTATATTTAAGAATTTTTGTTACTGCAGAAATAGCGTTTTCAGTGGGATTAACATTTTCTGGTGATCTAGATTCTGGATCGTTTATAACTTCCATTAACCTAGGTAACGCTTCGGCACATGCCTGAGCAAATGCTTCTCCTCCATATTGCCCCAAAACGCCGCAACCATAAGCTGCAGCCTGCCTTACTTCAGCCGACTTGTCTGATACATATTGTATCATTGGTCGCAAAAAATATTCTTGATATTTTGCACATTCAGGTCCGCCAAACTCTATTACATCATCGAAAACGCATAAAGCCCACTGGTGATCTGACCAGGACCTTTCAGGACTTAATAGTTTAACAAAATGTCCACAAATTTGATCGAAGTAAGGGAAAAATGAAGATTTGTGAGTAATAAACAAAGCATGTAAAATATCTCCTATTTTACTTAATGTATATACATCTTCGTTATCTTCATCAGCAAGTTGTTCTTCAACAACCTACAATTTAAGTTAAAAATTCTTATTCAATAATACTTATAATACACTTATTCACATAAAATCAGTGTTGTGTAAAATCTTACTTCATCGTAATCTTCATCTTTACGCTTTTCCAACCTAGCTACTGCTCTTTCGAAATGTTTATTAAGTAACTTATCTAATATACGTAACAGTTCTGCCATAGGTTGTGATCCTAAACAACCTGCACCAAGTGTTTCAATACACTTAGCCAATGAATATAATAATTCTAGCAAAACTTCAGATTCGGGTTCAGTATCAATTGCTTTCAACAGATCGGGGCAGATATACGCCCACATACCTTCAAGGTATTGCGGACCTGTAGCCAAATTATTGGATATTGTAGTTAAATGTTTTTATAGTGTAATAAAAATAATATAATATATATTGCAATTAATTAACCTTTAATTTTTGCACAGTCAAGAAGATACGGTAAACTTGCAGCAGCCGCTGTTCTAACACCATCATGAAAATAAAATTTTAACATAGGAACCATTAGCTGCACTACTTCTTCGGCATAGTCTGCAAAACCTTCTTTTAATTCTCGTGCATAGCAAACTAACATTTCACAGGCAGAAGCCTTATCTTCTAAACCAGCTGTTTTGATGCCAAAGTTTTGTTGTTCTCCAAGAGAAATAAATTCCCAATCAAAATCATCTATACCTTCCATATCTTCATTATCTAATAAAGCAACTTCTGGTTTCATAGCTGCTGTACGCAAAACTGGACCCATTACCAACGGTAAATATTGTTCAAATTGTTTTCCTAAAACAGATTAAATCATTATTTTTTTTAAATAAAGTACAATTTGAATGCTATAGAATATACAGGATTTAAGTATGCACCAAGAATTTTACAAATTCGAGCCCAAGCAGATATGAGATAACTTGTTTGTGGATCATCATCTGGAAGATTTCCTTCTGAATGAGTTTTTAACAACATATCCATAACTTCACTGGCGTCTGCAATAAACTATATAATCGCAAAAAGATATACAATCATTATAATGAAATATTTAACTAAAATTTCTAGAAAAAATATAATGAAATCTAATTATTACTTTGTTAATTGTTACAATTTATAGTAAATAATAGTGATAATATACCTTTTCAGGTCCAACTGCAAGTCCTATAAGACTCACACATTCAATTGTTTTACCACGCAATATTTTGTGTTCTTGCTGATTCGCATTCTGTATAATATATTTTAGACATGGCATAAGTCTATCATAATATGTTACAAACTGTTCTTCGCATGTATCGGCTACTGAGGCAATAGTTGTAACTACCTGCAAAAGAAATATTAGCTCATGATTACTTTATTATTATATTATTATTGTTTCTATTATTTAATATTTTGTTTCTATTCAATCTACATTATCCTTAAGCAAGTATGTGTAATTGGTGTACATACTTGTTCCAACACAAGTTTAGTGCCTTTTTCAACTAACTCTTGAAATTTAGCCGTAAGTATTGATTCCAATTTAGCCATAATCGCATCTAAATACGGTGTTAGGATATTTTTTGGACAATCTTCACTGAAATTTACAAGTGCTGCACCCGCATGAGCTTGAACTCTTGGATTTGCATTATCATCCAAGACCATCAGTAAACCAGGAATAACTTTGTCATGAAATTTTTTTTCAAATATAGGTGCAAAATCGGACGACATTTGTCCTATTGCATTACAAGCCGCATATCTTACACGAGGATGCTAAAAAAATTCAATTAACAATAAAAAACATGTCAAGTGTAACTAACTAGACATAATGCAATTTTATACGTAACTTGTATGTTCCAAAACCATGATTGCTTAGTATAAAATACATAATAAACAATTTTCAGGAACCCCAAAAGATGTATTTAATGCATATTATCAGAACGATAACATGAATAAATATCAATACCTTTGTTTTACTCTACCATGAATGTAACGCTATTATATTCGTACCTGAATATAACTGCTGACTCATTCATGGTTTCTGAATTAATTTATGTATAAATAGTTAAACTTACAGGATCCTGCAAATACTGTATGACTCCTTCCATAATTTGAGGTAACATTGTTTCCATCTGTTTATGACAACCTTCACCAACAGCTGATATTGCCATAAGAGCAGCATGCCTAAATATGAGCACTTTATAAATATACGCTAAGATTTTGTAGGTTGTTTATAGAAACTATGTATATGCATAAATACAAGACGTTAATAGATATATGAATGCATAAATGTAAGTTCCGAAACTATGACAATAATAATGTGATATTATTGTCAACTCTCTTATTGAAAAACACCTGCCAAGGTCTCAAACTTCTAATTATCAAAACGATAGCTAGAATAGAGAAAAACTTGACAGTTATTCTATCACAGATATAACCCAATCATTTGCATTGAAGCATATAATTGCTAACATTTCTGTGACGTGACGATAGTCCATGCCAGAATAACATAAAATACCAAACAAATATTTACCTATATTTCCAATCGCTGTTATTTAGCATTGAAGGAATATTCTGTACAATCTGCGGTAACATTGTTTTACCACCTAAACCACACGCTAATCTGTCTAAAGCACTTTCGGCAACAACATTGTTACTATCATTATCATCATCAACAATTTCGTCAGAAAAACTCCACTTCTCGTCTTCTTCTATGTCTGTCATCATTTTTAATACCAATGGTACAAGAGATGCGATATATTTTCCGCCAACTTTACGTACCATCGCGGGAGCAGTTTCTGCTAAAGTTACTAATACTTCCAATGCTAATTGTCTCCATGGATCAGTCACTTCTTCATTAGAAAATATTTTCATACACATTTCCATTATAGTTTCTAATTGTAATCTTAAGAACTTAGGTGTTGATTCTGCCAAATCGATTAAAACTTTTAATAGAGCATCATCTTCCTGTTTTTCTACTGATTGAGCAATTACTTGTACAATAGCTGGCAATAATTCTGAGAAATGTTTTTGTATATTTTCTTCTTTATCATGTAAAATAATAAAAGCACCAATTGCTCTTACTGCTTGAAATCTGACCTACACAACAAACATTATTACTATAATAATAATATGTAACTTAAACAGTACAATTGTGCAGAGTATCCCAAACGTAAATGACCAAATTTCACTAGTATAATATATAAGTAGAAATAAGAAAAAGATGTTATACACACATAGGCTTTTAATAAATAACACAAAAAGGTTTATTTATGGTTTCATTTCAAAATGTGTAACTCGTTTTAGCTCAATAAATGCATCATTAA